TAGAACACTAGTTGGCAACTGGTAACTTTCTCCGCAGGGAAGCTGCGTGTCTGTGCTGCAGGTGTCGGTTTGTCTCAGCCAACACGTTTCTACAAGTGATTTTTTCGCTATTTTCGTACGTTGCGTTCATTTCTGTGAACCCTGGTGGGGGTAACGAGAGAGATCGCACTGCCGCGTGTCACTGTAACAACAACATAAATGAAAACTGAGCAACCAAGCAACGTTAAACCAACAAACAACCCTCCCACCAAACTCAGCGAACTGAGCAATGTGCAGTCAAGCCAAACGTCAGTCCGAGCGCAACCCTACTCAGGAGCTCATTCCTCCGCATAACCCGGCAACTTGATTGCATTTAAAATGCAATACAATTTACGTTTGCCACATTGCTACTAGCTATTGGGGCGTGAAGGTATACAAGAAACGTATAATCACAACTGTATGCGTGTATGTGTAAATGTATGCCAGTTGCTACCCTTTTGGCGGGTTTGAGGCAATTTCCCATGCTTGTAACAAAAAAAAAATTTAGTGAAAATGCAAAAAGAAAGAGTAGGAAAAGTAAAAAATTCCGACTGCAGACGCACACACATTTTTGAAACTTTCTACTTTTCTTCTTTGTGTGGGAATGTGGATTATGTTTCGGTGTGTGTGTGTGTGTGTTTGTGTGTGTGTGTGCTGAAAGAAATCAAGAATCGATTATTTCATTAGTTCTGCAATGTTGGCCACTGGTGGCCTCTTCATGCAACAGTGAGCATATAATTGCAAACTGCTCTTTTCCTTTCAACGTTCTAGATGTGTGTATGCGTGTAAATATTATATATACATACAAATGTACTTAGTTGTAAGTGTATTATTTTTTCAGTTAGATGCTGGGTTCCAATGAAATAGCTCAACTGAAATTAATGCTGTGATGTGACTTTCTAAGTGTACAATGACTAGCATATCATGGGTGGGCCCTTCATTGGAATAATCAGATATTTCACACTAAATGGTTTTATAATTTTAAGTCGATATGGGATGTTGACTTTGTCCACTCTTCTGCCCGATATAGCGGAACGGGAAAGATGAGGTACTTGTAGGGTTTGGTTTTCGTTCATTGAGAGAAAATTTTACTTTTCAATTACCTACTCAGTCCAAAGTAGCACCTGTTGGCAAGTGTGATTCTGCGCTGGATTTCCAAGCTAACATTGTTATTGGCGCTGATGATGGTTCCAAGATAAACAAAGTTATCTACGAGTTCAAAGTTATAATTGTCAACTGTGACGTGGGAGTAGGAAATTTCCGGCTACTTGTTTGATGACAGAAGATATTTCGTTCCAGGCACTCGCCAGAGCCATTCGCTTTAGGTCTTGAAAAAATCGCACCATAAAAAACATCGTTTGATATCAAACGGCTCGGAGAATCTTCCAACCTCTGATTGCGCTTCTCGTGTTGTCGAGCATCAGCTTACGCAGCCTTATAAGTTATGGAGGAATACAAAACTCAAACTTACTGGCTAAGTGGCGTAAAGACTGCTTCCTACTGTGCTATAAAAGGCAGCTTTAAAATCGATAAAAAGATGATTTCTATCTATTATTTCTCATGGGTGATTTCCAAGATTTTCTGCTAGGGAATATCTGGTCAATGGTAGATTCAGCAGGTCTAAAGCCACACTGGTAAGGTCCAATCAGTTTGCTGACGGTGGGCTTTAGTATTTTACACAATACGTTCGATAAGACCTTGAATGCGATGTAAGATCATCTTTTTCTAGATTGGTTAGGAAACACTTATATCCCAATCATTGGGCACGCAATTGATCGACCATATTCTTAAAAGAAGTTAATGCATGAAACTTGTAAGCTCTTCACCACCATGTTTAAATAGCTCAGCTGGTAAGCCATCGAAGCTGTTTTGTTGTTCCTTAAGCGGGCAGCCGTTGCCTCGTCTTATTAGGATAATGGAACGCCTCTGGCAGCGTCATCGATTGGGTTTCGGGCTCGCCACCTTCTGGTGTTGCATTTTCACTACCATTCAGCTGGCCGGAGCGGGGTTCTCTCCATAAACCAAGTAAGGTCGGGTTATAGATAACCAGATTCCCACATTGACTCCCATATAAATAATTTGGTTCATTTCCGAACAGAAACCTATTGTTCAACACATTCATATTATTTATGTTATTCTTTAGTCCCCACCTTGCTTTTCCATTTGTCCCATATTGTATTTGTATGTTGTTCACACCATAATGAGATGATCCCAATTGTTTTGCATTTGTACCAATATATTATAAAAGAAGAGGTCTAGTATGTTGTGATATGTAGTCTTACATAGTTGTCCCGTGTGAAAAAGTAAAGCGTGATTAATATAGTTATCCAAATTACTCTAAAAACATAGTATTCCTAACTAGCCAGCTGAAAGTTGGTACTTACGGGCATATCAGCGTTGAGTCACTCCTGAGCATACGAATGGACTACGTAATTCCACGCCTGATGTTCGAGAAGCTGTTGTCAGCTTCAATAGCGGCGAAAGGCTGAAACAAAGATCTTTAATATACAGACAAAGCTTCAGTTTACAACTCCCAGCTATAGATAAGAAAGTCATATAAGCTACCAAACTATTGCCATATATTCCAAGCCGAAAGATCTGCTATAAGTCTGGCGGCAGAGCTACTGCAATATGCTGTCCTTCACGGGAAAAAACACACACATCTACTCGTACATTGATAGAAAAGCAGCTGTAAATAGCTTAATTTCGTATAGTTCGCAGTCAGCTTCCGTCAGCTATGATCCCACTACAAAAAAAGGTGATTCAAGTACTCTCCGAAATCAGAAGAGTTTACATTACAGAAATGATGTCTCAAGTATGAATATATGTCGTGTGATGCTTACGGCTAAACAGTGACAGTGGTAGTGATCGGCATACTCTTCCTCTTACTCGTCCCTTCAGCTGGGACAAAAATTATTGTAAAAACTTCCCGTTCTCCTACCCATTAAACAGTGTCCATTTCATATGCCCGCTGTTGAATTAATGGTGAACAAATCTAAGCGAATTAGATACCTAGAACTTTTAACGTTCAGCACAGGCATAAATTGCCTAGTCACATTGCAGCTTCCTTTGCTAAGTAATCTGTTGTTATCTGTTTTGGTGAAGTCCAGTGTTGGTCTGAGTTTTGCAGTAGACAAAGACACGCGCAAGATATACCTAGAACTTATTATAGTTATAATTGTATCTTCTCTCGCTAGCTGGTCCGCCGTACAGTTGTCTTGGATGCCCCTATGTCAGGGCATACAGACAGCGGCTGTATTGCATCCAGCTGAGCGCTTATTTAAAATGATTCTATTGATGCCCCATACATTGAAGAGAACTGATGGCTGCTTGGCTATCTGGGTAAATATTGATTAACCGATTTGTAATCAGAGATCCCAGAAACCAGTAGCAGCAGTCCGGTAGCCTCAAATTAAAATTGGTTGAAAGCTTTGGAGAATCAATTTTACAGCCAATACTTTCATTAAGTTTAGAGCGAATCTTGAAGATTTGATCCGGAACATTTGCATTCTCTCACTCCTTCCCAGCCGGGATTAATGTGGTAAGGAGGTTATCAAAAGAGTAAGTGGAGATAACGAAATCAAACTCCACTGGAAGATAATATACAAGCGTGCGCTGTAGCTCAATTTTCCCAAGGCTTGAAGTTTGCCGCTCAAATCCAGGGGAAGAAAATTAAGAAGCGCTTCCAGGGCTTTTGATGGAGTCGGCGGCAGAGCTCCAGTGAAAAAAATGGTTGCCGCTGAGCTCTATCCAGTCTGCTACTGAAAGGGGTTTCTTGTTAGTGTTGGTTAGCAGGTACTGACTCCGTAGAAAATGCAATCGGTTTATATCTCTTTTTGAAATGAACCATTTCACTTTTCACTGTATTGACATCTAGCCCACATAACCTGTATTAGCTTCCTACTATGGTTAGGGCTTTTTATAGTAAATCGTAACTAGTGTTTTTGTGAGGTACCATAGTAATGTAAGACTCCCCCGCGAGAGGTGCTGCTTGAAGTATATCTTGTGTTAACGACCCATCTTTACGAAGATGACTCTGTTTCCCAGCAGTGATTGCACGAGCTTTACAACCGCCTGTACAAGATACATTTCTTGAAGAGCTTCTATTATACACTCGGAAAGAATATTGTTAAAGGCTGCCTTAATCTCTAAGAAAATGTCTCCGAAATACTTTTTCGTTGCATCCAACAACTTAAGACTATACCTTTTGCTTCCCCGAATGGGTATTTTTAGGAAGGCTTTGGCGAATATAGACTTCAAAACTTTTTCAGAAAACCCCAAAATATTTGCTCATGCATGGAGAAGATATCCTACACGTAGGCAGGCTTTAAATCGGCCACTTTAACTAAATGGGAAAGATCCCAGTGAATTATAAAATTGGAACGACCCACCTACTTGTGCTAGGTGAGATTACGTGCTGGTCTTCGGAACAGCCCGGTAACGGAGTGTTCATAAGAATATCTAGCATTTCGCCGCAAGATGTGGGCCATTCAGAATATGATTTTAGGATGTAATTTGCTGTAAGTGTTGGAGCTCTTAAATAGGACTTTCCAAAGGTTGTTTCCTACTGAGTTTTTAATATCAACACTTTTTGTTGGAAGTTTTTTAGAAGCTGAGCCTCGCAAAAAAAAAATATCTTAATTTTTACATTAACTGATTTAAATTTCTTTAAAGACTTTTGGTCAGAAACATAAATATCAATAGAAATAATATTTTTGATATACATACATACTCTATATCTAATACTTTTTTGTAATTAAATGCATATTTTATATTAATTTTAAATTTTGTATATTTAAATAAATGAAATATCTAACGATTTTTCTTTATTTTGCTCATCCAAGTACAACCACGTACGGATGATGTTCTATAATGTTAACGTTTAATATAAGATATGCAATTTCTCTATCCACTTCCGTTCTTAAAACTAGATAAGTTGATTTGTATTGACATAAGAAAGAATTTCAGAATTTAGTACTCACATAATGCGATGATACGCATCTGGCTGGGCCTGCGTACACGTCACGGATTGCTCGGATTCCGTGGAGTCATCACGTAAAGTGGCAACTCCAAGCGGTAATATTGGTATTATAGCAGCTGTAGCAGCTGCTGCTGTTGCCGGAGGGCCCGCCACCACCGAATGATGTGTGGCTGGCGGCGGTCCAGTTATAGCCTGCGGTGATGGTGTCGTGCTTACACCCTCCTGAAATGTTAAGAAGCTTATGAAAACATATGAAAATAACATATATATATATATATGTATACATAGATATATTAAATAAACCGAAGAGCTCCTGAAGCGACGTTGAAAAATCAAAATAATAAAAATCTCAATTTTTGCGGAGGTAAATTAAAAAGTAAATAAATATTTCACAGCACGAAAACGAAAATGAAGTCTTGTGGCGAATAAGTGGCAAAATATACACACACACACCCCCTCCCCACACACACACACACAGATGTTGGCGTTTTAATGAGCTGTCGAAATTGCGTTGAATGAACGGAAATTGCAATCATGCGAGAGTACACATCTACACTTACATATATACAGGCATACATATAAGTATTAATATACACACATATGTATGTATATATTACTACTCCCTGCCGCACTCACCTTGATTTCGGCTGTTTCCGTTGCCGAATACCTTTTGCGCTCGTAAAGTAACTCACGCTCGATAGATCGACTGCGAAACGCTGGCGGACACGAACGATCTGGTGGTGTTTGTATGCGGGGCGCTGTGGTGCCGCTACTGCCGCCCGCACCAGTTACGGGCTGCTGTATTTGTTGCTGCTGTTGCTGTGGTTGTTGTTGCTGTTGTTGTTGTTGTTGTTGCTGCTGCAACTGCTGTTGCGATTGGCCTGATGTTGTGGGTGGACTCTTCTCACTTGTCGCTCCCTGCTGTGACTGCTGCTGCTGTTGCTGCTGCTGCTGCTGCAATTGATGCTGTTGCTTATGCTCCTCGCGTTTCTGCTGTCGACGTATTTCCAAATCGAGCAAACGCGCCTCTCGTGCCTCTTTGTCGCGCTGTAAGTGCAAGAAAAAAAAAATAAATAAATAAAATTGTAAGCATTAAGAAAAATGTATGTAAATAGTCTGTGTATACGTAAGTGTGTGCATATAGAGCGTATGGTCGACGGCCTGTGGTAGCGGAAGTAAATCATCCATTAAAAACTTTGTACTAAATGAATTCGTAGCAGACGCTTCGAATATTTATACTCAACTCTACTGTTGTGTACTCCTTGCGCAACCGAAACTGTCTAGTCTATCTTACTTATTTCTTTCTTTTTGCTTTACTTTCATCTTTCAATCGTCTGTGCTGTATGTATGACTACCCTGCAGGAAAAAGGTGGCTTAGTATGCAAAAATCTCACTATAAACCAGAGAGACACTAGTATTTCAAGAGCAAGAAAATATACCAGTTTGCAATAGACTAGAATTATACTAGTATTTTTCCGTAAAATCTGCAATAGTCTGCAGAAATTCTAGTACATGAACTAGTATTTTGTAGAGAAATTCAATACAGTTTGTCGTTTTGCAGCACTCATAAGTAGACTAGTCACTGCAACAACAACGACAACCAAATATTATTGTAATTCTTTATATAATTTGTTTATAGATTTGAGCATAGATCGATATCTGATCTACTTCCTGGAAAAAAACAATCTAAAAATTTTCAAGCAAAGTACACCATAAGCGTATTTTTTCAAATAAGTTGATCCCTAGTTCAATTCCCGTGAAAGGAGTTTTTCAAAATCAATCTCAAATCTATCTGAAGACATACAAAAAAATTTACTAAAACCGGTTCGATGGCTGGGAATGTTGGAATCCATCGAACTGATTTTTGACTAATACGATACAGACTGGTCTGCGGTGAACTACAATAGTTTTCAACTGGTATTATTAAACCAGTATTTTAAGTAGTATTTAACTAGTTCCACCTGATGCATAGACTGACAATTGACAGTTCTCAAAAATATCTGTTGCTTACATGAAAAATAGATGAACTTGTTTGGTTTAAAAATCTAAACTGCATTTTCTAGTATTTTCTCTGGAGGGTACATATTTTTGTGCGAATATGTGTGTGTGTATATATGTGTTTGTCTGTCATCTCTGCTTCACTCACCTTGTAATTGATGGCGTCCTGCTCCTCTTTCTTCGCTTCCCGCTCGCTGCGTTGTCGGTCGCGTTGTTTCTCTTCGTCCGTTTGCGATGTTTTGCTGTCTGCAATTCAATTACAATCAAGTTTGTATCGATCAAATTTAACTAAGCGAATTTTTATATTGCAGTTTTTTTTTTGTTTTTTTTTTTTGTGAACTTCATTCACGTAAAGTAAACATAAGCTGAAATGTTTTGTTTTGAAATTTTGCATGCAAATGCGTTCAAGACAAGGATTGGAAATTTATTCGTTCATGCTGTTTGTTTATTTAGTAAATATTTCGTTGTAGCACGAATATTGAAAAATTGCAAATTATTTAAAAGTTATTTACATAATTTTTTAGAAATGCATTTAAATAAAATTTGTTTGATATTTATTAAAGATTTTAAATGAAAATTGTTAAGAAAATATATTTTTTATTATATTTATCTATTTAAAAATTTATAAAATTTTTTGAAGGTAGCTAAATTAATTAAAATAATTATTTTCTAAATTTTAAACACTATGTTAGATAAAAAATTCTATCATATAACCTTTCTCATGAACAGAGCTATGCTAGCGAACTACAGTCAAGGAAAAAAGTCGACATACACCCATCGATTAAGCAATTTTTGCTAATTGCTAAGCAAAAAAGTCTATATATCAATATTTAAGTTGTTTTTTAAGAAAATTTTTTAGTGAAGCATGAAAGCAATTAATTGCACTAACAAAAACAAAAATAATAATAATATAAAAATTTCATTAAAATGTCTTCATACAAAATTTTGTTGTCTGGTATATATGTAAAAACCAGACTCGAACAACGTACGAGTTTGCCATTAGTTTTGGTTCCTTATCTTGTTGAAAAATCTCATGCTCTCCAAAACCCAAATTATCCATGTTTGTCTTTTTAAACATAACGGTTCACAGCTTCAGCAACATAAAATGCTTGGCCGGGTAGCTGAGAAAAGTCTGACAGGATGTAAGTTTCGTCATCCATTATGCAGCAAATAAATTGGTTCATAAAGTCTCTACTCAATTTCTGAGCGCGTATCTCCGCTTTGCTGTTATTCTCAGCGTTTCGGTCTGGGGTACATTTTGAAAGCTCTTAACCTATTGACATGACCACCAGCTTATCAGCCTTTCTTTGGTTACCGCAAACTTTTTCTTTCTGCCTGTATCTTGTATACGATCTACGCTAGGATTCTCTTCAAACTTTTTTACTACCCGGAAAACAGTGCTTCGGCTAATTTTAGCATCTTTTGCTCTTCGCTTAAAGCTTCATTACGGTTAATTTAAAAATGAAATGAAATGAAATGAATGAGCAATTCTAGTTACGACAAGATGGAAAACATATTTTTAACGACGAAGTGGGTCGCCGAAAATTAAAAAAAAAATTTCATAATTTTATCTCTGAAACAACGTAAGATTTTAGCTTTGAATTCCAAAACCTTGCATGGTAATTTTTATTTTTTTTTAATTTGTGTGATTGATTTATATTAACATGTTCTGAAAAATTAAATCATCCAAACGTTAACCCCCATTTTATAGATATAATGATATAGTTTTTTGGGATGCGAACTTGATGTTTTGACTTTAAGAAAACTTGAATTCATCGTATAGTTAGCAATATAATATATCTGAAGGGATGAAACATTGCTTAAAAAAATATGATAAATCTTTAATTCACATTTGATGGTCTTACTCCACCTGAGCTCTGGTTTGATCAAAAAAGTTCACGCTTTGTGTCTTTTTTTTTTTGGAAAAAGTCGTCAAATCTGTAACTGCGGCGTCTTTGCACTTCCGTAGCAAAAACAAAAATTGTATGATTTATGTTTTCTTCTATATAAGAAAATTTTTCTCATATTCACATATGTATAAAAATTTTAATGGAAAAAAATTATTTATTTTTATTATATTATAAATGTCAAGTACCGCCCAATGCATATATAACGAAGTTGGTTCGGTGACGTCAACGGTGCTTTAAACCTTGTATTTGATACCTATTCTTCTAAGCCAACATGCACAAAATGTCTTGATTTGTTTATTAAAGAAATAAACAATAATTGAAAATGTCTGCACTAATTTTTAATGACGCACTCTTTGCCCTCTATGAAAACCAAACTTTCAACTCCAGATGAAGCTTTGAAACCACAACCCAATAAGGCTACCATCTACATGTTCGAACTAAAGCAAATATATTATTCTTCACAACCAGCGATGTATTTGGGTTTCCACTAAATGTAGAACGGTCACCATTTCCAAAAATATTACCTTATTTTCACCGTTAACCAAAAATCTTTATCTTCCTCAAGATATGTTTTGACAAAGTCTGGTCGAAGATTATAGTTTTTCTCAGTTATTAGAGGTTTTTTTGTACTACTCTAAAATTAAATTCGAACACATTTTTCTATGGGATTCGCCATACTTGAGAAACTTATTTAAAGATTTTTGAGCATTTCTTTTACAATGGAGTTAGCGAGGTGCCGCAAAAGCTTGCTAAGTTGGCTAGATCGTGGCTTATTTTCGGTGCGATTTGAACTACTGTAGTTTTTAATGATATTTTGTACTGTAAACAGACTGAATTTTATAGTTTAAGCAATTTCTTCATATGATTTGTTTTCATTTCGAAGATTAAATGCAACATTTCGAACAGAAATCTGTTATTCCTTACATTTTCTCATATTATATATTATAAAAAAATTAAAAATTAGAAGTTTGGATTATGCACTTTTGTAACAGAAATACTCAGAATGCACAAATCAACAAAATAAATATTTAATTTCGCTTTTGAATTTAATGTGCGGAATTGCTGCGCTGTATGTAGACTTTTCTTCTCTAATTGTTTTGTTTTCACGCAGTACCTTTTAGAATTGCTCAGAACTAAAGGGCTATTTGAATAAAAAAAAAAACTTTAAAACATAAAGCTTATATATTATTGAAGAAATAAACATTTTGTACGAATTATAATTAGACAACGAAAAGGGTTTGATAAGCGATTTGAGGAAAACAACCTTTTATATATATCTCCAGGATAAAAATAAGAGGTTAGGGAAAGAATCAGATATCTTAGTTCTTGTATAGTATTTCTAGCATCTCCGAAAATATGAAATATATATTATATAATCGGCACTTACTAACCGCTGAAGCAGTTTTCCACCGAGTTCCTCCACCAATTTGTGATTTTGCATCTTGATATTTTTTCAACAAATGGAGGGATTTACAGTTTATACTAAGCCACCTACGAACGGCTGATGGTATTTTTTTTACGAGGAGCCTTTATTTCATTGCAGAGACCCGCTCGGGTGGTTGACATTCCCTGCCGAGGGGCGACCGAATTTAGAAAATTGAAGTTAATTTTTTATTTCAAATTAATTTTTTATAACTTTTGGACGTTGGAGGCGCCAGGATATGAATCAGAACTTTCCCTATATCGGTATGCAACCACTCGGTTAAAGCGGCCGAAAATATTAAGAAATACATATAAAAAACGTGCTTTTCTCGGCTGCGACAAAGTCTCCCATGCATATTAAATTTTTAGTTTAAGCTAGAGGTGATCAACTACCGAAGCGAAGGAATTTCGTTATTCTAAATGAATGTTTCAACGTTTCGACTCCTCGTTAGCGAAACGAAAAGAAATTTTTAACTTTGAAACTGCACAAACAAAATGTAAACATTAATTTTCAAATGGCTGCTCGCTATGATATTAACATCGCACTTCAATGTTAACGTCTGTTAATGATTGAACAGTGAAGACAGCATTTCGTTTCGGTGTAAAAAGGAAAATAAATTTATTGTGATAACTGCTTTAACGTTCACATTTCCAAATGTTTTAACCGAAACGATAGAAATTGTTCAATCAACGCGACATTTATCGTTACAACGCAGCCTTGGGTTTAACTGTTGAACAAATTGGATTTTTTAAGCACGCATACCAAGATTCTTCAACAAGGTCTGCCATATAAGATACGCACAGTTCTAATTGTGGCGCACGGTGGTGGTTGAACTCATTCGGGTCTTCTTTGATACTCTGCTTCACAGCAGCAATAGCTACTTCGGTACGCATGTATTATGCGACATTTCTGAGGGTGCACATTATAGACTGGTGTAAAGTGGAGTAACGTGACGTGAAATCGATACATGGTTGCTCGTGCTACCAACTCTACTAAGCGCAATTAAGTTGATCGAATATTCGGCGCCGCGCGCCACACGTTGCGCGAACCGGTATTTTGGCAATGAATTTGCACGAATTGCAAATTTTGTTCCAGAGAAAGCCTATTCATTATGAAAAGGATAACCGAACAGCTCTCAAAGAGGAAGAAAGAAGTATTGCCTCTTTGAAGATCACACGTTTGTTATTTAATTAATTATTAAAATTTCATTTTTTACACAATTTCTGCCGTTGGTCTGCACAGGATTCGAGCGCATAACCTAAGTATAGCAGCATGCATAGTTTGTAAGCCACTTTTCCACTGCGGCCTGAACACTGTTAACATATATATATATTTTTTTTCTTCACACAAATGCGCTGCGCTTCATAAATTAGTCAATTTCAAACATTGTAGTGGAATTCATAATACGCTTTTATTGATTGACTTAATTTCCCCTTTTCACTATAAATTCGCATGGGTCAATTTCACAGTTGCTTGCGTACATATATACTCGTATATCAAAGCAAGCAGTGCTGGCTCATTTAAAATTTAAATTACAATGCAGCAGGAAGGAATGTTTGGCATTATCTACGAATTTAATATGACTTTTTGTGTACCAATGCAGTCATACTTTTATATCTCAAACAAGAATTTTATATAGAATTACTTTACATTTAATCAATAGAGAAAATATTGCAAAGTATTATCCAAAAAGGGACTAAATTTACAACGATTTTGATTTATAATTTTAATAATTATTTATTTATTATTATTCTCATTTTTTTTTTTTTGGCGCTTTGCAACTCCTGAAGCTAAAATCGGTCAATTTATGGTTTTGGGCCTGCTTTTCCCACAAATGGGGGAATCTTTAATTTATATTAAGCGGCTTTCGAACTTAGTTTTTCATTAAAATTAATTTTCTATAACTTTTAGCGATTGATCGTACCAGGATTTCAGCCCGGACCTTCTGAGTGACAGTACGAAATGCTAAACACTCGGTCACCGTGGCCGCGAGCTACAATATAATATTAGTAATCCATTATTATTGCATTAAATTTAAGGTTTTGTTTACCTATCTGGACTCATCCAATTTACTCCATAACTTTTAAGCATTTTGAAGATAACCCCTATTCCTATTGGCAAACAAATTTACACAGCCTTCCACTGATGCCGACTATTCACCAGCCAAAATATTCACCATGGACAGGAACATCTGGTAATCCGTTCGTGCGAGTTCTGTACCCCAAAGTTTATACATAAAAACCTCTATACCATGCTCTCAGAGGTTCTGATGAGTTACTATTGACGTGTGTAGTTTGGCGTTGTCCTTATTAGCAAAAGGATTGCTTCCTACAGACGGTCCAATTGCTAACACTACAAGTCCGAGAAAAGAGCTTGCCAATCCCTGAAAAACGCAACAGAACCTTCCTGGCCGTCAAACCTGACTTGGACACCGCTTGTGCCAGCTAACTGCCATTCGACTACAACTGTTTTCATTTTTCGTCACCAGTCCCCAGTCTGCTACAGCAATGAGTCGATTTTATGACAAATCAGCAGCGATTTGAAGATGGAAATTCAGTTTGTTCGTACTTTCAACCCTACATAGAACTTACAAATACCACCGCGGGATGTCCCTGATAAGGAACGCGTAAAAATGTTCGCGAATTCTGTGCTCATAAGCCTCGAAAGAACACAGTTCATGAAGTTTTTACTCGTGAACTCATTTGTCACACATATATTGAGCTTCACAGTGTATCTAGTCTTTTGCAAGTAGTTCCAAACCATTTTTTGTGCAATTTTAAGTTCCTGGGCAATCGAAACTGCGATCCCATGATGATCAGACTGGATACTTTCCATTGTTTTTCGACATTTTCGATAATTGGCCTTTATTTTCTATATCAAAATTACCGGAACGAAATCGATGGAAGGAAAATCGCGCATGACTGAGAGTATCAGTATCATAAACACCAGTCTCATTTAAAGCTGACTGACTTGTTCCTCATTCTTTATCTTTTTTAGTTCCTAATATATCATAAGCTTTATCCATTTATTGGATTGGATAAAATGGATCTCTTTTTACTGGACCTAATATTATATTGGTTGAGAAACTTTGGGAAACCTGTCTGTCACAGTAACCAAGAAGTTGGCTATTTTTCGACCATGCTCAGGGCCCTGGGTCTTCTGAGTACTGCCCAGACACAACAATACAAACAAAAGAGAATTATTTAAAAAAAAGCAGGTAATGGCAAAGAATAATTGGACGCAGCTTAGGCTGAGCCTTCATTTGTTGGAAAAAGCAACAAAACGTAAACCGCAAAATGGTGCTGGAACTCGGCCGAAAATCGCTTCAGCATTTATAAAATTCCAATCATACATATGCGCATATATATATGCAGTCTAAGAAAACTTATTTCAACTATTTATTTGAAAAATCCCTTCACTGTGCAGGCAACGCAATTCAGTATTTCATTCAACATTTTTTGAACGCCTCACTTACAATCATAACCTCTGTGATGATGTCTAGGTGTTTGTTGTTGTATTTGCTGTTGTTTATATTGCTGCTGTTGTTGGCTAGGAGATGGCGGTGACGGACCCGGTGGTAACTTGCGCTGAGACGAACGCACATTCATTAAATATTTCGTTAAATTTGGTGGCGGCATTTTGCGCCGGGAATTATTTCTTCACTTAACTCTCAATTACATTAATTTATACAAATGCATTGGTTTAAATTTAAATATATATTTATGTATTCATTTATGCATTCATTTGTGTATATTAATAAGCAACACTTTTATATAATAAATGTTTAAAATGCAGCAGAACAAATATTTTTCACTTTCACCTCAAGCACCATGTGGCATGCCACGTTCTATAAACACGTTATTTAAATGTTTTTTTTTTTTATTCGTCCGTTATGTATTCACAATTTGTTTCATCGAACATCGATTGTTGTTTAACACGAAAAATAAAAATAAAATAAAAACATTTTTTACTGTGTCAACACGCATCCTTTTCGCGGCAGGAAATCAAATAAAATGGCCAACACAATGCACAGTTGTGTGCCAGCAGTGTCAACTATAACTGTAATTATCAACAAACACACAACACATTAATGAGTAAGTAGATAGTATTGTATTGTGCATTATGCGTCCACTGCCGGCTATTTGCTTCCGCCAAGCGAAATGTGTGCTTTTCAGCTACACAACCTCGACTCGCCAATGGTGGCTGAGGAAAATGTGTAAAAGTGCCACGGCTAGTATTTGCAAGTAACAGTTAAATAGGCGGGGGCAGCACTCGGTCACATACTAGCTTTTTGACCCACTCAGTATATCTAGTTGATTGCTTGGTAGCGTTTACACACCGTTAAATTTAACAACCAAACCACCACACGTTCGACAGCCGCCACACATTTTCGCTAGATTAGCACTGTCGAATGTACGCTGTCGACTGTTTAGCCGGCGTTTTGTAGTTTATGTATGTGCGAGTATATACCCGCGGTGTAATGCTAGACTGATGTGCACAAAGGCTGGTTCGGAACAGGTGTATATTAGGTGTAGTAAAAAGTAATCCATTATTTTTGCAAACGATGGTTTTTGCTTTAATTTTCAGTATCTCACGTTCTATAAGTGCGATTGGATTACGCTAGAAGGCTTTAGAAAGATATTATCCTGTGTTAAGCGAGATAATGAGAGAAGTGTTGATCACTTAACGCTGTAGTATTTGAGGGCACATCGTGCTACATTTTCCAATTTTTCTGCCATACATACAGCTGAAAATACTGTAATACTCAACCATGCACATTTTGGCTTTCATCGATTTCGTTGCGTAAATTTTGTTGTAAAAGACGCTCCACGCTGTGGTTGAAAATTTCGATAAATGTCTTTAGTTAGTCTAGTCTTGCCATGATGTGAGCACTGTTTCGATTACTCAAGAGCTCAACATTGAAAAAGGCTGGATACGCAAAGAAGCTCGTTGTATGGGTGCTTCATGAGGTAATGAGTAAAAACCTCATGGACCGATGCTAATAGCTGCTGCAACGTAACAAAATCGACCAATTTCCAAAACGTATGCTGACTGGTGATGAAGAGTGGTTCACTTGCATCAGTGTTTAGTGAAAACAATTGTAATCGAAGGGCAGCGAGACGTCAGAAACGGACTCTAGGTTTTAGCAAGGACTCATCTACTATGATCCAAACTCTTCATTCGGACCTGCACTGACAGCAAGTGGACAGTCTGAAGGAAATAATCGCCCACTTTTTGCCAATAGGCGGGAATTTATGTTTCAACAGGACATTTTCAGACCACATACATGGGTAGTGTCTCACCAGAAACTCTGAGAGCTTTATTGGCAAGTTCTTGTGCATCCAACTTAGAGTCCGGTGCTCTTACCAAAGAATCCCTATCTGCTTCTGTATAGACCAAATGAAGAATTTGCCTCAAAATCGATTGTTATAAATTTTTGTCGATAGGAGCAAGTGTGTGTGGCATTACCTTCAAATGGCAAATCGTTGTATATTTGATATAAATTGGATCATTTTACTTTACATGAATATTATGTTGTAGGGAGCGCCATGGGTTGATTTATATACAAACAGGAGATTCAGTGTCTAAATCTCGCTTTACTTATATCCATCTAGGAAACACCACCTGCATAAATGAACTAGTATTTAACTAGTATGACGCTGGCTTAATGTCATATAAAAGTAAATTTTATTAAACCTATTGGTAGTAAAAATGTGAATATAATAAAATATAACTCAGTTGGTGTAAGAAACCAACTAGCAACATTTTACCTTCAAACTAGTAGCTTCCCCTGCTGGGTAGTAGTGGTCGTGGCGTTGTCTGTGCGTGAGTATGAGAACGCGTGTGTCAGTTACTGACCTATTTTATTAGCTATGCTTGTATACTCGACATGCTATTTTTATCCTAATACTTTTGTGGAATTTTGCCTGTCTTCATTCGTAGAAGTGGAAGGGGAAACACAGTGGGTCTCTTCGAAAGTTCATGAAACAAATGTGATAATTTTTAAATATTCGTAGATTTTTAGGGAAAGTTTACAAGTGTAATATTAATTTTCATAAGCAGTTGTACACGGTGATGTCAGTATGTACACAGCCACGGTTTGGTATCGTAAATTGGTTAAAACAAAATTTGAAGCAGGAAATTCTTCGCTCAAAATCATGTTTTTAACGTTTATTTTTCAATTTAATTTTTTTTTTTTTTAAGAATGTCAAATGCATCCACTAACAGCCTCATCTATGGAACGTAGAGACCTGTTGGATGGAGGATATAGACTGTGCATGATATAAGCATCCGATAAGAGAGGATTTTCCAAGACCTTGGAACGGTCTACTAAAAAAAAAACTATATTTAAAAATAGTCAGCGCTTTGCCTGAACTCTTTTGGAAGTATGTTTAAATTTTGTTTGATATTTGCAATAAAGATTGCTCTTTTTTATTTCTTTCCTTTCGAAAAAATCCTGTTATAATTCACTTTACGGGATATTTGGATAAACAAACCTTTCATATGTAATCAAACATTTAAGATAATTTTATAAAATAAAATAAAACGTAAAAACCAAATAAAAAGTTTTTCTAGAACCGTTTGGAAATCCAACTGGATGGAGTCGTTTTAGTAACAAAATCTTGTTTATAAAAATTTATAATCTGTGCCTCGTAGCCGCTGAAGCGATTTTTGGCCGAAAAATCTTAAAAAGGTTGAAAAACTCAATCGAAATGCTGAAAGTGGCTTTTTAAAATTTTCAAGCTACTAATCGACTAAGTTGTTATGCAAGCTACCTCCTCTCCACTCTAGAGACTAATAAAAAATTTATGAAAGAATATCTTATTATTTCCATAAATAATCAAAACCTCATGAGAAACACACGAAAACTTAACCTTAAAAAAATTTATTAATTCTATTATTAATAACTTCATTCCAATCAGATTTCATGACAATGACCAAGGTACGAAAAGAATCTTAAGCATAGACAAGTCTAACCTAACAACTTTAGTACATAATTTCTACACATAAAATAGCTTCCTCAACACAGACTTTTATTTCACATTTCATGAACATAAAATGATACATTAACTCTGGTTCGGTTAAGAGAGAGACCCACCAAAATGTAATGATCGCAACAGAACAACTAACTAAGCCGATTTAGCTATGTCTGTATATGCATCTGTAACTCACTCTTTGGGATATTTCCTCTTCTTTTTCAATGATACTCTCGTAAGTTAAATAAAAACTGGGTCAGAAAATCTTTGATATCGGAAGACTACATATAACTACATATCATTTAGCTCCCTTACAACCAGATCTGAGGTTATGAGTTGGAAATTCGTTAAAAAGTAATCTAAGAGCAGGAAATTTGGTATTATTCTTAGATAGATTTAAATAAATTTTCACACTAAAAATATTCGATATTTGATATGTGAAGAAAACCCTTCTTTCTTTTTTGAACCAAAATGTTTTCCAATTATAAAATGGCAAGCTTTTTAATTGAAAAGAGTTACTTTTATTACATATGACAATGTACACTTTTACAGTAAAAATAAAAAAATTTTACAGGTAGTTGAAAGGAGTATTCAACGACATTTTTACTAAATTCATATGGTTTTGTTTTAGATCCTTTCCACAAACACTACAAAATGCTTGTTTCCAAAGTGCTCTGAAAGAGCATTCCATACTACACTATAGGAAATTTTTCTCTCCAACTGCGATAGCCCGTTGGCAGGCCTTGTCAAGCACTCGAGTGCATTTCTGGCATGAAATAAAAGCTCCTCATAAAAGTATATTTTTCGTTCGAAGGCCAGTCAGAGGAAACTGTAGCCCCTCCCTTGCTGCAAAAATATCGAAACGCACATCACAAATTAGATGAGGTGCTCAGCCGAAAATCGCTTAAGCGGTTACAAAGAGCCAATTTTAAAAACACTGAAGAATCACTTCCGGTATAAACACTGATGCGCAGGTAAATCAGTGCTTAACCCCTGCCGCTGATTTCCGACATGCAAGTTCGCTTCTGGCATTTAAATAATCAGTATATATTGAAAGAACAACATTTTTATGGCATATTTATAAATGTACATGTATATATATAAATATATATGCATATATGACAAAACATATGGTATTGTATTTGTACATTTTTAAACCTGAAACACATACATGTAATTATGTTATATATATATTTTAAGCTGGAAATAGCGGACCTTTATTTCCAATTTTGTTTACAAACTCTTTACATATTTCCACGTAAGCGACAGTGACAAGTTAATAGCTGAAGGAATGTATAAAATATTAATTCATATATATGTACATACGAGTACATTCAAATGAATTCCCATAAGTTGCACTAGTAGAACTATTATGTACATACTCGTATATATAAATAACAAACAAACGTTCAAAGAAAATGTCATTTACACGTTAAATCAGTGGAAAATAATCAATATAACAACTATCGTAAGTAGAGAAGCATAAGAAAATGATATAGACACATTCTTAGAGCACTGCATTCGACAGGAACAAAAATAGGACGCGTCATAAAATCCTGAAGGATAAAAAAATTAGAAAATAGAATGGAATTATTGGTAATTAAAAATTATGCGCGTTTTTCGTAAATCTGACAAAACACATACAAGTCAAAGTTTAAATTAAATTATAATATATAAATCAAACTAAAATTAATACAAAAACCAAATTAAG